AAAGGGTCGGACAGACTGAAATGACTAAACAACAACAACAAAAGACATATGATTACCAAGCTCCAAAGCTTCTAGGTCAAAGAAAAAGTAATGTAAGGGGTCTAGTCACATACTTAGGAACTCTAGTCAAAATCACTCACCATCAACAATGAATAAAAACAGAAATTGGAATATGATATTATGCCAAAGAGGAAATCAATTGTACTGAAGGATAATTTATTTCAAAACAATATAATTCTGTAAGAAAAAAATGATATTTTTAACAACTGAAAATTTCCCAATTTTCCTTGTTGAGAAACTTCCTTGTTGGGAAAGTATTATAGATAATGAAACAGAATCAATATTAAGTATATGTTTTCCAAATTGTATAATATCTAAGTACTTAAAGGAAAAGATAAATGTCCATGATTTGAATTAACCTCTTTCAGACTTCAATAAATATATCCAGGAAGATGGGGATTATAACATTATGAAAAGAAAGTTATAAAAATTAATATGGTTAGAGCTTTGGGAATTCCTGAATTGGAATGAATAGGAGTATACCTCATTTTTAACAAGACACAGTGCCTTAACAAGGGAGTAAAGATTCCTGACAGTATCTCCCCTTCAGAGACCTGTGACTTACAGTACTGCTCTGGGTAGGCCTCCAGTTATGGGTGTTACATGTATGTCTGTGCCTGTGCATCCCTGCTACTCTCTGCTCTCTGTTGCTTGCCTCCTTCAGACTCTGCTGCTCTCAGCAGGCATCTCTAGTCACCCTTCACTTCCACCACTTCATAGTCACTTTGCTATCATTGACATCCTTGGCAGCGTCTGTTGGGTAGCCTACTATCAGCTCCTCTGTATTCCCTGGTCTAGTCACTTAGCAGTTCCATTTGCCTCCAGGAAATGCTCTATATCACCTGGTTTTACTGCTCAGCTTATAGCTCTCGGCAATTCTGTTCTTCAGTAGAAGTAACCCAGTCACTTTTCATGGGACCAAGCCAATATGGGGCAAATCTCTTAGTGTGTTCAAAGAATAACCACCATTATATAGTAAACATTATATAATAACCATTATTTTTGAGCCTATTTTTGTGTATAGTATCCATTCCTCCAAAACATCACGCTGATTTAGGGTATGGGAAGATGGCTGTGGGGGCCTCTCCTTCTTGTACCAGAGAAGCAAAACTGTTTCTAATCCTAGAAGGCCTAACAAGGCATGTGATGAGTCATTGCCACCAGCCTTCTCTGGTCTCAGCATTTCTGTGATTTGCTGCTCCCTGTTGGTGTCATCACTTCCTAATAGGTCTCAGGGTTTGGAGGGAATATCTCCTGCTGTCTTCCAAGTTGTTCCATTGTCCCCTGTCTTGCCTCCATGTCAGTGGGGCTGTTTCTGTAACATCAAGAAAAACGGGAGCAGATAAAGACTAGCATGAGTGAAATCTACATAATTAAAGCGCATTTGCATCAAGGAAAACCATATCAGTGACTTTCTTCCCCTTGCTTTGATGCATCCATGACTTTTTTGAGTGGAAGTACTCCCTCCACTGATGCAAATCATGTTCATTCCATGCCTTCTGCAATTCATGTTGAGGTTTTTGTATTAATCTTTCATAGAAGATCAATTATTCAGAAGCCTTTGTTCTTATTGTTTTAGTATCTCAGCAATTCCTCTAGGCCATGCAAATTGCCTGCCTCTTTTCTCTCATTCAGCTCACATGATCAGTCTGCCTCCTTTGTTGATCATACACATCCTTGATAATACCTTATATTGGTCCCTGTGCACAGGTTACTGTTGGTGACAAGCTACAGTCTACTTGTCTCTCCATGCTTCTTTCCATTTCCCAGTGGCTTGTTTGGAATTTAAGTTCTTCTGATGATAGCTGTATAATTTGCAGCCCCATGGCGTTATTAATGGAAAATTGGCATGAAAAAGATGGTCTTTTGCTGTGGTGGGAAGTTAGAGATCAATGAGAGCACTAATTACTCATTTTCACACAGGTAGTCCAGTATGATGTCCTTCCTCTTCAGTTTCATTTTATTCATTTAAAATCAATTCAGTATGCTACTTCACTAGTTTAGGCTGCTCATTCAGTTGCATGCCATTCATCCACTTTATTTTTCAGGGTGGATGGTTACACTGATCTTTTTTTGTATCATTGGAGATTTCTCTGAGGAGCATATAACATTCTAGGGTTCAGTACAATTAATACATCATCTAGGAATAGAGAACCTCATCAAGGGGACATTATTTTATTTTCCCCTTGCAATGAAGAAACCTGCTGGAATAATTTCTGTATAATAATTTTGACATATGCCAGTCTACAGAGAGCTTTAAAGGCTATATTTCACAATCCATCTAGTGAAATGCTTGCTTGAAGTCAATATACAATATATACAGTAGGACCTACACCTCTAAGTCAGTTGTCTGCCCATACAGATGTGGTCTGCTAGAAAAATTCATCTGAAAGCATACCTGTCCCTTCTTCATGTTTTCATCAATGCAATAATAGAGGATTAATGTATTCATAGAGATTTATAGTGATGAGAAAAAAGGACATGGGTCTGTAGTTGTGATTTATTTCTTTGCTGTTGCTTTTAGGGGGGCAGGGACAGGTAACAGACCATACAAAAGCAACATTTTTAAAAAATAATTTTATTTCAATCAGCAAAAATCTGCTTTCTTTCCTTCCCACCCACCTTCAACTTCCATTGAGAAAGCAAACAAATAAAAAACCAACATTAAAAACATGTATAGTCAAGCAAAACAAATTCCCACATTGGCCATGTCCAGATATGTCTCAGTCTTCATTCTGAGTCCATCAGCTCTTCATCAGGAGGTGTGTGGCTTATTTTGTCATCAGTCTTCCAGAATTATGGTTGGTCATTGTGTTGATGAGAGTTCTTAAGTCTTAATCAAAGTTATTTGTCTTTACAGTATTGATGTTCTCTTATAATTTGTTCTCCTGGTTCAAAAACAGCATATTTTCATTCTGTTGTTGCAGTTGTCCCTTCCTTGAAATGATCCTACATTGCCTTTACAATTCTATTTCTCCAACTAATTTTTTTTCCGTATGTGAGAAAAAATAAATGTGACATGCACTGGAGCTGAGATATTTATCTATGGAAAAGCCTTACTCTGCAATGAGAAAGTCTGTCTTCTCTGTGTTCAACCATGCATAGGCAGGATAAATGGTAATCAGCACAATAAATCATATGTCATTGCTCCAAAAATGCGTGTTGTTTTGAAGATTTCTTATTATTAAGCCATTCTAAAATGGTAAGGGGAACCTCTCTCAGTCATACTTAGGTATGACAAAGGAGGGATGGGGAAAAGTGTAAATGTCAAGTAATATATTAACTGCTAAATAGAATTACAAAGGACATCATGAGAAAGTCAAGTGTTCATTGTCTAATTGTTTATAGCTTGGGCCAAGATAAGTTTCCAGCAGCTAATTTTTTAATTATTCCTGGTTAGTTGTGAGTTCTGTTAAAAATGATCATATTTCATATTGGACCATTAAGCAACAGTACCTTCTCGGTCAATAAGCTGATGACAAAATCCTTACCTGGGTAGTAAGAAATAGTTCTTTGACATCACAGATCTAGGATTGGAAGGGACCTCAGAGGACTTCTTGGCCATCCTCCTCATTTTATAAATAAGGAAACTGAAGTCCAGAAAATAATAGTTTACTTACCCAAGGTCATATATGTAGAGTATGTATCAGAGACAGGATTTGAACCCAGGTATTTTGAATCTAAAGCCAGGGTCCTTTCTACTCTTATCACATAGTGGAGCTGGAACTTAGCTCTCACTGGAAGTAAATAAAAGCTGACAAAGTTCATGGAGCTTAAGTATTAAGAAAACAGTTGAAAGTTCTGCTTAAAGTCTTTGCGGTTAAGACCTCATTAAGTCAAACTTGGTTAATTTCGAACTAGCAGTGTGGTGTAGTGAAAAGAACAATGGAAGGAGAGTCAGGAGACCTGGGCTTTTGTCCCAGCCCTACCTTTATTTTAACTTCTTTAGGTCTCAGTTTCCTCATCTATAAAACAAAAGACTTGCATTATATGATCTTGATGATCTATTTTTGGTCTAAAATTCTATAATTCTAAGTTGTTAAATGAAAGCTAGTATTAAATTTATCTTTGGATTAGCTATTTTTTTAAAAAAAGAATTTAATAAATGCATATTCTGAATATTGTGCCACTCTTCCAAGGCTGTGTATTCTCGGTTCTAGAATTGTATATCAATCAGCTGCTTTGGGCTCCTTTTTTAAAGGGAATTGGTGGGAAAGGGTGGGAGTGGGGAGGAATGAGTGATGTGAGGTATGGAGGTTTATGAGAGATCTCTTGGGTGTCATAGGTTGGAAAATTTTTGAGAACTACTGAAATCTTATGACCTATATCACCTTGGTATCAGGAGAGGGAGGGAAAAAAGTCCAGTTTTTCATTCAGACATTGCCAACACCCAATAACTTCAGAGCCAATAGCACCAGTCTCCACAAGGCCCTTAAATCTCTCCCAAGATCCACTGAGGATTCTTGGCTTCACTATGAGAAATACAGCTCTGGAGGGATCTGGATTGGAAGGCATATTTTTATATCTTGCCTTAGGAGAGAGAATGTATGTGTGTACTTGTGTGTGCATGTTGGTATATATATATATATATATACACAAAATTTTCACATAGCTTTCAACTTTCTTTCAACAAAAAAATCATGCTCAGAATCGTGGCCCTGAAAGAACAAATTATATGACAAGAATTTTCAGTTTATTCTTCCAGCTGTCTGCTAACTACTCCTCCCACCTCCCATTTCTTCCATCTTCTCTTTTTAAATGATTGCATGGCAATTTGGCAGGATCTCCTCTCTTTGTAAACGGCTGATTACATTACCTGACTTTTGGAGAGATGATCTCACCTCATTTAGATGCACCTGTGCATACAGTAATATAAATATGTTTAAGAATTGAATTATAATTTTGTTGTGTTTGTTTATGTGTATATGTGTGTTTCCTAGCAGATTGCTCCAACGAACAGTAATAAAGATTCCTGTTGGAATTTCCCAGGACTGCTTAATGGATGTGTTTACAGTGGTGTAGAAACTTTGGGGAAGGAGCTTTTTATGTACTTTGGACTAAAAGCTTTAAGGTAAGATAAATATGTATCAGCATGTCTATATTTTTAAAGAGGTGCTTCTTGTAGGATTCTTCCTGCTGTTATATGTCCTAATAAACCATGACTGATAAAATCCCAAGTAAGTAACTGTGATGTTATTATGGAGTAGTGAGCAAATTCAGATTGTGATGTCATCATAAATGGAGACATTTGGGGGATGAGTACACACAACTGTGTATTTTCGTTCTTATATATCTATTTATGAGATATCACAAAATGTGTTTAATGTGTCTCCATTATTTACTTTTAAAATTTCATTTTTTAAAAATTATGATTTTTAACAAATGATGGACAAACATTTCCATTTTTTTCAATTAATAAACATTTATTTCTCTCCTCCCCTCCTTTCCCCCAATTGACAAAAAAAGAAAAGAAAACCATCGTTACAAATATTTACAGTCAAGCAAGCAAATTTCTGCAAACAAACATTTCAATATACAAAGATCACAAAAATGTTATATATGAAACTACTTATATTATGCAGGTAGTAGCTCTGTGACCATTGCTTTTTTTCTTAGTGTATGGAGCAACTCTTTAGTACTCTAAATTATGATGAGTTGCTGACCTGTGACAATGGAGGGAGTTTCTACATGGGTGGGGGTTAATACAGATGAAATAAGACCAGACCAATAAAACCCCCCAAAACAAACTCCTACTTACTTCCCAGGATTATTGTGAAGAAAAAGCTTTGTAGAATTTAAAGCATATTATGAAAGAGTTATTATTACTTCTATAAATACCAATTTATTGTATATCTGTATATATATCTACATAGATATATACACATATATATGAAAATCTCTGAGTTACAATTTTGATGCAGCCTGACTTTGGGCTGTGTAATTTTTATTTACAAAGTTTAATGCTGACTATCTTGAAAGTTATTCTATCTTGAGGTATAGTCCTAAAATAAATAAAACATAAATTGAACCAATTGAAAACCTATAAACTTCTTTTAAAAAGAAAGAAAAAATATTAATGGGTCCTTTGCTCCTAAATGAAGGAGAATGAGTCACAAATACAGCATATGACTTCAGCATTTGTTAGTGCTTTTTCCCCCACCAGTTGTTTTAGCATGTTTGAGTTTTTGTTTATTTGGAGTTTTTTTGTTTGTTTTTGGCTTCTCTTTTCTGTGAGGTCATGTCTTTCCTCTTTCTTGGCAACTGTTGTCCTTGGACACCAGCATCAGCTTGTGATCCCTTTTTTCTGAAATTGGTAACATCAGCAAATATCTGCAAGTGCGTGTAGTCATGATATATTGCAGATTTCATTATTGCTGTAGGAGATGGATGTGATTGGGGTGTATGTATGGGGTGGAATTTGGCAGAGAACAGTGCAATTTACACTGGAATGTGGGCTGGAGATGTATAAGCATTGATACATTATCAGTGAGCAGGTGTAAGGTATGGATTTATTGCTATGGAAAGAGAGGGAGGTTTTTATATTTCAGTTTTAATTTTTTTTTAAAATCAAATACCCTCCACTAGGCTTTTAAGGGGAAAAAACCCAACAACAACACTTCTAAATCCAGGGATATTAGTTGTCTCTCATCTAGTACTAAAATAAGAACAGTCTTTGGCTTCTAGCTAAGCAGTCTGTTCCTGTCCCTGGGGAATCCATAGTTCAGGATCAAGATAGAGAAAACTCCTAAAGATTGCCTCTTTTGTACTATTTACTTCCCAAAAGAAAACAGATATGTAGCATTTTCTGAGGCCAGTAGAAAGCATCTATTTGAAGCTGAACTTGGGGACCTAAAATCAATTGTATCTCTTGTAGCAACCTAGTATAGTGTTCTGAATATAGTAGACAATTTATCTACTATATACAGACCCATGTTAGAGATGGAAGGGGTTTTAGAGATAAATTTCAATTAAAGAATTTTATTAATAAGACTAGTAAAGTGAATTGCTCTAGTTCACACAGCAAGGTAATAGAGTCAGGACTAGAATATGACGCTTGGCCTACAATACTCAGTCTTTTTGCTATTCATTCCTTTCTTCCATTTTTATATTTTTGCTTTTTAAAATGTGTCATTGATGTCTTTTTTTGCATCATTCACACTTCCCAATGATTTTCCCAACTTCTTTATACCACTCTTGTAAAACATAATAGTACTAAGCATAATTAGACAAAGCCCTCAACACATTGGCCGTGTCTGAAAATATATGGTCCATTCCACACCTTTACTCCAATAGGTAGAAGGCATAATTTATCATTAGTGTTTTGCAACATTTATCATTACCCTTTTTTTTGTCAACTTGCTGACCTAATGAGTGTGAAGTGGAACGTCAGAGATGCTTTATTGCATTTCTGTAATTATTTTTTCATTTGTTTTTTGAGAACTTGGATGTCTTTCTTGGAAAAGTACCTCTTCATAGCGTTTGATTATTTGTCAGTTGGAAATAGCTCTTATTATTATAAATTTTGAACCCTTTTCTCATAAATATAGCTTGGAAATGAAACCCCCATCAGAAAAACTTGCTGTAATGGTTTTTTTCCCCAGTTATCTCTTTCCCTTCTAATTTTAGCTATATTGATTTTGTTTGTGCAAAACCTTTTTAATTTTATGTAATCAAAATTGTTCATTTTATCTAATGTGAGCTTCTCTATCCCTTGTTTGGGCATAAATTATTCCCTTATCCATAGATCTGAAATTTAGTTTTGAAAAATTTCTTCCATGCTCCTCTGTTCTTAATGATGTCACTTATTATGTTTGTCAGTTATCTATTTAAAGCTTATTTTGGTTGTATGGTGTGAATGCTGGTTTATACCTACTTTCTGCCAGACTGCTTTCCAGCTGTCCCAGCTATTTTTGTCCAGTAATGAGCTTTTACCCAAGCAGGTAGGAGACCCCATTCTGTTTGTCAAACACTGTCAAACACTTCCGTGTATTGAATACCTAATGTGTTCCATTGATTGACTTCTGTGTTTCTTAACCAGTGCCAAATTATTCTGATCATTGTAGTTTGCAGTATAGTTTGACATCGGGTACTTCTAGACCCTTTTCCTTCCCACTTTTTTTTCATTCTTAATAAATATTACTTGTTTGATTGTTGGATTATATGTCCAGCCTTGGGTCATAGGATCATCCAGCTAGAGCTGGAAGGGCGTCTCCGAGGCTCTCTAGTCAAATGCTGTCATTTTACAGGTGAGGAAACTGAGGCCCAAAGATGCTAAGTAATTTGCTCAAAGTTGCACAGGTAGTAAGCATAAGAGTTAGGATTTGAACCTGGACCCTCTGAATCCAGAGTCGTTGCTCTTTCCGCTGTACTGTACTGTCTTACCTCTGGGCTCCATTCTTGAATCATGTAAGGAAGAAGTAGATGACATCATGTAATCTTTCCTTTTAAATATGTAAAGAACATGATATAATCTTTCCTTTTAGATATATAAAGAAACTGAGTCCCAGAGAGGGTTTATGACTTGCCTAAATTCAGACAGCTAGGCTCATAAGATTTAGACCTATAACAGACCTTTGAGATCATCTACCCCCGTTTTCTAGAGTCTAAAACTGAGACTCTTTTGACTGTACCTTTCAATCTCTCCCTGTAGGTCTATGATGCATGTGTGTATGTGTGTGTGTATACACATACACACATATACATATAAAACCAGAAACTTTGACAAGTAGTACCTATATATATATTATATATATAATATATATAATACATAGATATATGTATGTATAAACATCTATGCATATTTATGTAACCACTATACACTTGTATACATGAACTGTCATGTCTGGCATGAACACCTTCCTCACCTTCACATCTTATAATCTCTATATACCTCCAAAGCTCAGCTCAAATGCCACATTCTATGTGAGCCCTTTGACTCAGTTTCCTTAACTGTGGAATGAGGATAATAATAGTACCTACCTCTCAGGGTTGTTGTAAAGACCAAATGAGATATCTGTGGGAAAAAAAAAAAAAACAACCTGCTTAGCACAGTGTCTGGTACATAGTAGGTGCTATAAAATTGCTTATTCTCTTCTCCATTGTGTTAAAATTGTGTCTTGTTGTGGTCCCCTTGACAACCTTTCCTTCTAGTCAAGTATAGTGAGTTTCATAGATCGCTAGTATAATGGAGCAGTAGCACAAGATCAGATTGCTAAGGGAAACCTGGAAGTCACATACAAACTGTCCCAAAGCTCAAAAGAGCATCATTTACAAATTGTATCACATATTAACCAAAATTCGTATCTTAGTAATATGTAATGAATCAAGGGAAGCCATCTAGGCACTGCTTATCACGGTTTCTGGTTTTATACTATTTAAATTACAAACAAGTTCCAGACCACCAAAATTCTAGACCAGCAGAGCATCCAAAAGGTACTGATATCTTTGAGATGTAATTTGGAAGTTTTACCAGTCAGTCTGACATGCTTTGGATATGTTAATTAACTAATTAATTAGTTAGTGAACTAGGTAGCCCAGATAGGAGTTGTTGGTCTTTCCCCAGAAAACCCTTTAAAAATGGGACTTCAAAATTCTTGTCCCCAGAGTCTTCCATTTCCATCGGGTCTATGATGCTTAGTTCTCCCGACTCTAATCCATGGTTATGTGAGGGGTATTCTCTGCCACTGCCCCTCACCATCCTCTTCCCTGTGCTGCTTGGCTTACTTCACCATTCCGTCGTCCTGTTTCCACGCCATCTTCCCCTGTACCGTGGTCCCTGCTTGTTTCTGTACCTTCTGTGATTATTAAAGTGTGATTGCAACCCCATTTCCTGCTGCCAATTGTGGTTTTTCCTGCAAGTATCCAAAGAACTGGGTGTGCCTTCCCTCATTTTATAATTTACAAATTAATTATCAATTCATCAATCCTTCCCTTTCCTAGTCTTCCCAGATGCCAGTGTCCCCCCTGAAATTACTTTGTATTCACTTTGTACGTGTATTATATTTACTTACATAGGTACATCTTCCTTCCCTAAAGGGAATTTAAAAGTTCACTGAGAACAGGAGCTGTTTC